ATATGGGTTCTGATGAGGGAAAACCGAAAGTGAAATTGTCAGGTAGAATTCATCAAGCGCAAGAAATGTCTCAGGCGCTACAATACATAAAATATTGAAAAAGCACAGTCAGGGAGCACAGCAGGTATCACGTGTCAAAGGAACTTCATTGCTTGGGCTGATGACTAACACCACTTACAGAGAAATCAAGCCCAGCATGCCAATGAAACCTGACAGGTTTTCATCTCAGAGGCTCTGACTCATAGGGCTGCCAGAAAAGTGGTTAGCAAGTGCCTTCAGAGGCTTCTGTTCAGAAATCCTGTCAATCAGCAGAGTTAGTAAAGAGTTATTTAACAGCTGAGACAACTGTTTGTACATTTTCACACCTGGATAAATCAAGACAGGCAGGAAAGGAAATGCTCATTTCTTCCCTCTGCTTCTCACACCGCTGCCCTGAGAAGGGGCTGGACAAGAGGCAGTGCCATGAATGCCTCCCTTTCGAGAGGCAGAGGAAAACACCAAAACAAACCTGCCACTCCTACAGGCCTATTTACCCAATTCCACGTGATTTACAGGCCTTTTTTATCTGTTATTCTCTGGGCACTTCTTGAATCTCCACGTGTGGTGGGGCTGTCGTATGCCATAGCAGCAGCCCCACTGCTGAAGCCACGAAGTCTAAAAGCCACCAACAAAAGTGTTTTCTTGTATCCTTCCACTTGGAAACGTAACACATTGGTCTGAGCTCCTTCCCCCACTCCTCAGGGGTTTTAACTCACTTTCCAAGTGAGTACCAAGTGTAAATGAAGCCTCAAACCATTCTGAGTATTACACACCCTGCACCATCGTATTTGCCAATTTAAGGAGCTGTACCTCGGTATCTGCAGAAACAGCTCTACTACTCCTCAAATTTTCTGAGATCAGGATGCTTTTTATATGCAAAAGGCTCTGCAATGTACATTTCCTATTACTCTGCTCGTGCTAAAGATCAGAAAGTCAGATAAATTCTATTTTCTTTCACTTCTCCCTTTCCAGATAGTACTGAATAGAATATAAAACCTGAACCTCAGCAACTGATGACATCCTAAGAATTACTGCTTGACGTTATCCTTTGCAATTGCAGTAAATATTAAATTGTGCCATGTTTTTTGATGGTCTGTAACATCAATCACAGATGACATTAATACAAGTGTCTGACACAGCATTTGCAGCACTCTGTCCAAGCCACTTTCTTCCTCTTTTCGCTGTTATTTCCTTTGCCATTTTTCTGAGATTGGTGCTATTGAAGAGCTGCAGGCCTTTGCTATTATTCTCTACTCCATAAAAACTCAATTATTGGAGTCTGATAGCCTGCCTGGATTACATGAGGACAAAGAAAGGCCCAGCAGGAGGAGAGCATGACCAGGTGACCCACTGATACCAGGGACAGCAGCAGAGCCCCTCCGGCCCCCAGGAAAGGTAATTAGGTAGACAGGCAACTTCTTTTGGGTTTTTTGAACTATTTTTGCTCTATCAATTGAAGGGAAAGAGAAAAGGATAAAAAGGGGGTTCAGCAAGGCCAAATGCAAAGTCCTGCACCTGGGTTGGGGCAACTCCTGGTATCAATCCAGGCTGGGGGATGAAAGGAATGAGAGCAGCCCTGGAGAAGGATTTAGGGGTGCTGGTGGATGAGAGGCTGGACATGAGCCAGCAATGTGCCCTGGCAGCCCAGAAAGCCAATTGTATCCTGGGCTGCATCCAAAGCAGTGGGGGCAGCAGTGGGGATACTGCCCCTCTGCTCTGCTCTGGTGAGATCCCACCTGCAGTGCTGCCTCCCGCTCTGGGACTCCCAACATAAAAAGGATGTGGACCTGTTGGATCAAGTCCAGAGGAGGCCACGAAGATGCTCAGAGGGCTGGAGCACCTCTGCTATGGAGACAGGCTGAGAGAGCTGGGGGTGTTCAGCCTGGAAAAGAGCAGGCACTGGGAAGACCTTCTAGCACCTTCCAGGGCCTAAAGGGGATTATAAGAACCATGGGGGCAGATGTTTCAGCAGGGCCTGCTGCCATAGGAGAAGAGGTGATGTTTTTAAACTAAAAGAGGGTAAATTCAGACGAGAGATAAGGAAGAAATCTTTTGCAGTGAGGGTGGTGAGGACCTGGCACAGGTTGCCCAGAGAAGCTGCGGATGCCCCATCCCTGGAAGTGTTCAAGGCCAGGCTGGATGGGACTTTGAGTGACCTGGTCTAGTGGAACATGTCCCTGCCCACGGCAGGGGGATTGGAACTGGATGACTCCAAAATGTCTCTTTAAATACAAAGTATTCTATGATTCTGTGATTCTGGGGAAAAGTATGCTTTAGGAAAGTTCTGTTAAAAACCCCACAAAAACCAACAAACCAACCAACCAAAAAACCTAGCTGTTATTTAAAATTACACGTTTTTTCTATTTGCATAATTTTATATATGTATTATATAATTTAAAAATATTAATATAAAATGTGCTACACTTAATATAAAGGTGTGCATTTATATATAATTTAATTCTATTTGTTGATGCTTGGTTGTCAGCAAATGGAGAAATAACAGAGCTTGGTACAAGCTTTTAAATAAACCCCTCAATCCATAAATTATTTTTATTATAACTTCTACCCCTTGGCTCCTTTTCCCTGGTCAGACACTAATGGTGTGAGGAAGGAGATCAGAAAGTGGCTTAAAGTGCTCAACTGGCAAAGAGGTCTGTTGAACCACAGACAGAAACTTCAGGTTTGAAAACTGTCGGTTTTGATTAATATTAAATCTTTTTCTCAAATTTCAGTTTCTATAAAAGCTTTTTTAAAATGAAATGTAAATTAGAAAACAACTTGAAACGCAATATTAAAGTATTTTACACCAAAGTTGTCAAAAGCTGACATTTTCAGAAACACATGGAAGCTTATGTTGACTCAAGTAATGTAATCAATCAAAATTACCAGAATACTCTGATCCACAAATAAGAAATACTTATTTCTCCAGCTTTTCCTTCGTTTCCTTGCTTCTTTCCTCCCTCCCTCCCTCCCTCGAGGGGAAAAGCGTAATTTAAACTACATTTTATTATTTTCAAAGGGTAATCTGCTATTTCTGAATATAAAATGATCCAAACATGCTCTTCCAGAACAGTTTGGTTATCAATGCCAAACACAAAACCAAAAAACCTGGGAGGCCAATGGCCAGCCAAGAGCTGGGCAATTCCAGGGAGAGGACAGTAAATCTGGGTTTCTTTATTTTTCACCAATCCTACTCAAGAGACTTCTTTTCCAGACTCATTGAGAAAACTCTCCAAGGACGTTTTTGGTTATATGAGAAGCCACAGTCCAAAACCCCTGCAACTGTATTTGGAAAACAGGTGGGAAAGGAGAGGAACTTACTGGTGATAGCAAGCGAGTGTGAGGAGCTGATGCATTTGGGTGTGATTTAGGGAGTTGTTTTAGAACAGGGGCTGTGGATGAGATTTACACCCAAGCACTCAAAGAACGAGATTTTCACACCTTTTCTTGCCGAGTTCATTTTCTGCCAGCTCATTAAGTTGAGTCAGCTCCCCGAGGAGCCCGAGAGGTGTCAGTCACTCCCTCAAGCCCAGACCTGCAGCTGGGAAGAGGATTTCTTTGCAGGCAGCCAATTTAGCCGGGTTTGGCCCAGGGACGTGCCTAAACAACCCCCTGCCCAGCTCCCAGCTGCTCCAAAACCCACCACCCCACCATCGCTCCGAGCCCGACCCAACCTCCCTGGCAAGGCAGGGAGGGACTGGGCAGCTGACATATCACCAGCACTGATGCCACAGGTTCCCCTTCCAGTCCGGTTTTTTTTGGCATTTTGGTTCATGAACAGAGCACTCTACCTATTTAGCAACAGAGGAGACAACCCCGCTGAACGCCACTTATTTTTGTTATTATTTTCATGCATCAGATCGCCGTGCCACTGCAGCTGCGGTGGGGCGGGGGGAGTGGGAAGGACTGGTGTGAAGGCAGGGGGAAAAAAAAAAAAAAAAAAAAAAAAAGCACGGTTTCCACGGGGAGCCCCGGCTCCCGGAGGGATGAGACGGCTCCCGGCTGGGAGCGGGGAGGAATGGGGAGGAGCGGGGCGGGGCACAGGAGCGAGAGGGGCTGCTTCCATTGCTCCCTCGGTAAGTGCTGCTGCCGGCATCCTCATCCCTATCCCCGGGCAGATCCTGATACCCTCTGCCCGGGCAGGGCTCCCCGTGGGCTGTACTGCCGCCTCTCGCTCCGGGTGGGACTCCCTCTTTAGCAGGCTTCCCCCAGGCAGGTCCTGTGCCCCTTGCCCAAAGGACAAACACGCCCAGGTAGTGTCTCCCAACGCGGGCAGGGCTTCCTCCGCTCCTTCCCCACCCCCGACACAGACCCCGGGATGATTCCCCCCGCCCCGGGCTAATGCAGGGGCAGATGTGCTCTCCAGCATCCTCGGGGTTTTGCCCTACCGGTGGCCGAGGGCTTTGCTTCCCGGAGCGTTGGCGTTCTTACCCCTCGAGTTTTGGAATTTTTTGCCCCCCCCGGGGTTGGATTTGGCACCCCAGGTGCTCGGGATTTGCACCCCAGGTGTTGGTGTTTTTGCGCTCAGGGGTTGGGGGTCTGGCGCCCCAGGGCTTGTCAGTTTTGCAGCCCAGGGGCTGCGTTTTTTGCACCCCAGAGGGTGAGGCTTTTGCCTCCCCAGGGGCTGGGGTTTCGCACCCCGGCTCGGTCGCTCCCCCAACACCAAAGGGCACCCCCACGTTTGCAGCGCGGGTTTAACTTTGCCTTGAGTTTTACTGCTGTGGTTACGCCCCAGTCTCTCCTCTCTCCTCGGAGCAGTGGCTGCGACCGACTTGCTCTGTCTGTGGAGGAGCGTGCCCGTCTGCCGGGGGGCGATCCCAAACCGCTGTGCCGGCTCTGGATGCGGGTTCCATGTCCTGCGTTGGGGCAGGATCCGTCAGCCCCCCTCAGCCGGGCTGGGAGCAGCTCCGTGGGGAGGGATCCGGGAGCCCTGCGAGCTGCTCTGAGTCCTTCGTACCCTGCTGATGAGCAACATCCACGCTCCGGGCTCAGGGATACTGCCCAGCTGCTTCAAGCCGGCCGGCTGCGTTCAGCTGTCAGCTTTGAAGGTAAGGATACCGTGCCTTGCCGGGTTTCCAGCCTCGGGGCTGCCAGGGAGGCCGTAGGAGTTGTTCTGTGCCGATTCCACATCTTTAAATGTGAGGGAAGAATCCGTTCGTGCCCTGAGAAATGCTGCCCTTCAGACCGGGAAAGTTGGATAGAGGCGGGGAGAAGGAAAGTCAGTGCGGAGGCTCAGGCGCTTCTTGGCATCCTTGAATGCAGATTGTACAGGTGGAAGCATCCCCAGGGATGTTCCTGCTTCTTTATCACCCCACACAGCCTTGCACAGTAATGCACTGTTTAAGAAATTACTGAGCTGGTGCAGTTTCAGTCTCGGGGAGGAGGAGGAGGGAAATATGTTTGAGGTCCTGGGGCAGGTGTGATTTTTGAACCTGCTGGCATACGTTGGTTCATTCTAGGTTTAGCAGAGGAGCAGAGTCTGACAGCAAATACATTCCCAGTAATATATTTCCACTTTTCATCATTCCTGTAAGATTTTAAAGTGCACTCAGCCTTGAGATTGCAGAGCTTGTTTTTTTTTATTCCTCCCTTGCTGTCAAAATATACCTTTTACTGATGAAATTAACCTTTTGCTTGGGATTTTTCTGCTGAATAAATTAGGTCAAACTTTCTGGATATTAAAGGGAAATTGAAATGATGGGGTTGCTTTTCTCGGGCAACCTGAGAGCAGAATCTAGCCCATGAGGGTTTTTTTTGAAGGGAAGTAAAACTATAATGTCCAAATAAAAACAATGCAAACCCTGAGGCATCTGAGATCCCCAGGAAACCTAGGATGATCCCACATCATGGTACAACTGGGCATTTATCCTACTGGTTTAAGAGGACTCCTTACAGAAAAGACTGATGTTATAGAAAGACTCAGGGGTATATCAGCAGCACAACCCCTTGGGCTTCTGCAGCTCATGGGAGAATTTAAAAGCTGCAATATTTTAAGCTGTGGAAGTACATCCCTGGGAAGGATGACACATCCTGCTTTCTCCCAACAATTTCCACAGAGATGTTAGGATTGTCTCATTCCCCACTTTCCTGTATTAACAATTCTCCAGGTGGAGAAGCAGCACTTCTCAGTTAACAAGGACTGTGAGTGAGCTCCCAGGGCCCCTCTGCTTGGAGATCCTTGAAGAGGAGTCAGGAGCAGCAAGACCCTGTTGTCTACACTCTAAATTAGAGTTCAGGGTCCAGGCCTGAAGTTTCAAGCATCCATCATCCCTTCCTTTTGTCATCAGAGAAGTCATGGATGCCAGATAAGAACAGCCTTATTTCCAGTCCTCAGCCTGTCTTTAGTGTTGACCAAAGAACAGTAAGACAAGAGAGTATTTCCCTAATGTTTTTTGAGTGTGGGCACATCTGTCTCCTGGTTTTGTTCATCATGGGGTCATACTCCTGGATATATCCTGCATTAAGGAACCTCCTGTGAGTTTTTCACTTGAGGAGACCTTTTAACCCAGGCTGGTGGCTAAGATGGCACTCGAGGAGCACAGGGTGCTTGCAAAGAGGAACTCTAATAACTGTGTTCTAATTCTGCTTAAAGTCTGAGAGTGGTGTGTGTTTACAGAGCAGTAGCAGGGCAATGTTCTGTAAGTAACGATCTGCTTTAATTAGGGTGGACTAACACTGATACAGACTTAATGACTGTCTGGGAACAGTTGTTGTTTGCAGGAAAAGGAAGATGTGGCTTTGAAACTTCTTGTTTCAGAGTTATATCTAAAAAAACCCAAATAATTAATCCAGATTTCTCCTCTATCATTCTCATCTATCCAGGGCCATAGACCAAAAATCTGACACTGATTTTTTTAAAACCTTAAGACCTGGTGTTTTACAAATCAATGTCAGGTTTTAAGGTTTTAAACCATAGGGTTTTGGTCAAACCTGATTTTTGCTGTTCGTGTCTTAGAAGCCCCATGGTCTTCTGGGAGAATTTGGAGCTGACTGGGTGGTGTAAACTGGTTAGGGGTCATCTTGAGGTGGGAATCAGAGGACTGTTTCCAGACCTTGCGGAGGTCCCAGAGGTGTGAGGACACCAGCATCTCCCAGCAGATATGGGAGATGAGCTGGAAGATGGGCATGGAGCATGGAATGGCCCTTGCAGTGGCAGGTTCTGGAGCCTGGCTGGCTGTGTGGCCACAGGTTGTCTCCATGTGGTTTTCCCAGCTGGCAGTCACTGTGCTGTCTGTGCAGACCATGCAGAGGGGAGAACAGGCTGAACAGTTTTCCTGCCAGGAAGTGTGGCTGCATTGAAATCCAGCTGTTCTGCAGGAGCTCATCCAGCCTGGTGACATCCTCAGTGGGGCTGTTACAAAGAGTGCAGCAGATTATCCCATTTCCTGTCAGTGACAGAAGAGCTGGAGACAGGGTGCTTTATTTTATTTTTATGGGGTGTTACTGGAATGTGAAACGTCGTCCAAGGAACATTTTCATTAAGACTGATGTACTTAAGACACCCTGCAGACTTCTAGCAGTGCTGGCTCAGGGGTGTTGCCACAGGGATGATGTCCAAAAAACATCCCTGTTCATCCCAGCTTGGCTGAGTAGAAGCTTTCTTTCTTAGCTTCTTAGTTATTTCTAGAGAGCTTTAGTTATTTTTTAATTTGTTTTTTACTTGAAAAAAAGGAAACCACTAAATCCAGCAAAAAAATAGAAGTAAAGGGAGGGAGCTGAGAATTTTGAAGGATGAGTGGGTGCATGTAATACCTGATTACATCCAAGGACAAGGTCAGTATTGCTATAAGAAAAAGCAGCCCAGCTTCACAACCACAAAGGAGTGCCTGGAAGAAGTCAGCAGGTATGAGTTTTTGAGATTTGGTCCATCCCAGAGGCTCAGAAGAGCAGGAGGGATGGACAGGAATCCTCCATTGCTTCTGTACGAGGAATGAGCAAATTGTCAGAGGCTCCTCAGCCTGACTAAGAGAAAAGGGGGCTGGGGGATGTGACAGAGGTTAAAGGGCCCACCAGAGCCACTGAGAGAGTGGATGGGGATTGTTCACATGATGTCTCTTCCAAGGACCAGAGGGCACCAAATGAAACTGGCTGGTGACAGGCTCAGAACAAGCAAAAAGAGGTGTTTCTTTGCACAGTGCATAGCTGAGCTGTGGGAGGTGTTGCTATGGGAGGTCATGGATGTTAAAAGTTTGCTGGGGCAAAGGGGAAGCAGGACAACTTCATGATTTGGGAAGTTCTCGAAACAATCTTTAGAGGTAATTCTGGATCATAGGCTGCTGGAAGGAAACACAGATACTGGGGATGTTTTGCTGCCTGCTGCCTCGTTCTTCCCATGCTCCTAAGGCAAAGTTTGGCCACTGTGAGATAAGACATGTAGGACTACAGGGATGTTTATCTGGACCCATCCTCAGGCTGCGCTCAGCAGTGATGCCCTGGAGACGTGGGATTGACCTGAGGTTGCTGTGCAAGCAGAGCCCAGTCACAGGAGAATTGATGGCATTTAAATACAGCAATTTGGCATCTGGAAATAATTCTATACTTCCCTTTTCCCCACAGGTTTTGGCTTTGCCCTTGGCCGCACCAGTGTGTTTTGAACGGCTGGATTTTCTGCAGCACATCATTCCCACCTTCCCAGGTACTTGCGACACCACTGTGTCAAAGTCTGGGAACTGAGCTGTGGACACAAACACATGAATTTCCCCAACTGGAAAATCCAATTTGAAAACTGATTAAGCTCCCTATGTGGTTACAGGCAGCCCTGCATGGCCATTCAGACTGGAAGATGAAGCTGCCCACGATGGCAGTAAAAAACCTCTTAACTTCAGAGCCTGAGAAAGCACCAGGACAACCCAGGACAGGGCATGGGCTGGACAGTGGGGTTATGGGGGCAGCCAGCCTGGGCAAGCAGTTTCAGCTGGTCTGGGGGTGCCAAAGATGATGATGATGAAACTATAGAATCATAGAATGGTTTAGGTTGGAAGGGACTTTAAAGATCATCTAGTTCCATCCCCCACACTTTGTGGACGTGGCATGTTGTTCAGTGGGATTTAGCCCAGCTGCTTTCATTTTTGCATTCAGTTGTTTGCTTTTCCTTTCTCTGTTCTCAATAATTTTTATTTTTTGTTGTCTCACACTTCATCTGATGATGCATTTTGGTTCACAGAAGGGCTTCTAATTGCCATGAAGGACTTCAGCCAATGCTGCATATTTATCCTCACCCTTAGGATTTCAAATACTTCTAATGGACTCATAACCATGGGACAGTGATGGCACAGGCACAGCAGGGTGCGTGGATTTTCCTTGGAGTAAATGAAGCATAAACAATATTTCTGTCCTTCATTTCACACACCTACAAGTCATGCATTAAAGTAATTTTGTTTTTCCCCTTTCACGTCTTTCAGATTTTAACAGCGGGAAGATGCTGATGGACCAAAATGAAACTTGGCTCTCTAATTTCTCCTCTGCTGCCTCCTCCTTTGTGAGGGGAGGGATTGGGCTCCAGGAGGTGGTCATTGGGCTGATCCTCACCCTCATCGACCTGATCACCCTCCTGGGAAATACCGTGGTCTTCATCTGCCCTGTGGTGGAGAAGAGGCTGCGCACTGTCACCTACATGTTCATCATGTCCTTAGCCACGGCAGACTTCCTTGTGGCCTGCCTGGTCATGCCCTTCAGGTGAGGAGAGTTGGTACAGTGACAGCACACGGTGACACGTGCATGAATGTCCTTTCTCCTGGCTCTGCATCCACTCTTTGAGCGGGGCTGGCTGGAAATTCACCTGCTGGGCTTCGGGCTGGACTTAACTGTGGGTTGGTGATTATTTGTGCTTCCATGTCTCTACCCTGTATTATGGGTCCCCTGGACTAGATATCCAGCTTTGCACGTGGCTCCAGGGCAGAGTCCCCTCTTCCAGGAATAGCCCTGTGTTGCACACGGGGCCAGCATGGCTGGTAGATGATTTTTCAGGCTCCAACTGTTTGGGGAATGTGAGCTGAGGACTGCATTAAGAGCAGTGACTGCTGATGGAATGGTTGTTGTATCCCATCTTTCCTGCTGTCTTGGTTTCCTATCTATGTTGCTCCTTTGAATTTCAGTTTGTTCCTCAGTTGGCACACGCCAGAGAGAAGGGAAAGAAGTGACCTTAGGAGCCAGTTTGGCTCAGGAAAATGGGACAGAAAGGAAAAACAAGGTTGTCACCTGGTGCCTTAATCTCAAGAGCCATGAAACCTTTCCATGTGTGTGCAGAGGGACCCTCCACGATGCCCACATGGGGACCACCACGGTGCAGGGACAGCCTCTGCTGTAGATCCAGTTTGCTTGAATTTTTGCTGGTCATCCCCCACAGCAAAGAGCTGCCAAGGGCTGGGACCTTTTAGCTGCGCTGCACCCACCTACAGCAGTTGTTGCGCTCTGTAACAACATTCACGAGTAATTCTAATGAGTTGTTGCCAATCAAGTGTAGGCCAGGCATTGTTTTCTCCCTCCCCCGACATCACGTTACTCTTTCTGCTCTTGCTGGAAGCAGAGCCCACCTGAGCTCTGCAGGGCAGCAGCCTTGGTCTCACTGCATTTAACCAGCAAGCCAGGAAGTTACAGGGTAATTAAAGCTTTGTAAGACTAGGGAGTTACTCATCAAATTCACACACAGTGGTGATTTCAGCAGCACCCCAGGAGTCGCAGAAAGCTGGTGAAAGAAAGGGAAAGTGAATGGCATCTCATTGAATGCTATAGAAATATGCATCAGCCTTCCTACAGCTGCCATATGTTCCTTCCCTCGCTGCTCACTTCTCACAGGCCCCTCTTGACTTTGCTGGAAGTATTTTTGGTATAATGTCTGCTTTTTTTCTAGTGTGTTTACCTCACTGAGGCATTTATGAGCTACATAATGTACAAGCTGCATAGTCTTCCTACCAGGATTTTTTTTTCTTAACAAATGGTTGAAATCCTCTAGTTTTGCAGGGTGAGATCAGATGTAAAGTGAATTTCTTAGGGCACTGGAATTAAAAGCCGCAATAAACAAAGCTGTGCAGATGTAAATTTGGGGAGCTTTGTGGGACAAAACCCCTCTCTCAAGGCACCCACTCAGGGTGCAGGCAAGAAGCACAGGTTTGATCTTCTTTAGCCATGCTCCACCTGTGGGTTATTGCCCTGGGTTGTGCTTTGAGGATGAATGGCTGCTGTCAGAGCTGCATCCCCATCTTTAGCACCTCCATGATAAAATATGGCATTACCTCCATGCAGTCATGAAGAAACAGAATCACAGAATGATTTGGGTTGGAAGGGACCTTGAAGATCATCCAGTTCCAAGGCCATGCCACGGGCAGGGACACCTTCCACTAGACCAGGTTGCTCAGAGGCCTATCCAACCTGGCCTTGAACACTTCCAGGGAATGCACAAACTCAGCCCTTCGAGCTTTGATTTCCACCTGTTTTCTCTCACAGTATCATTTATGAAGTAACAGGGATGTGGCTGTTTGGGAAGCTTTTCTGCAAAGTCTGGATCTCCTTTGATGTCATGTTCTGCACTGCATCCATTGTCACACTGTGCTTCATCAGCCTGGACAGATACTGCTCCGTGGTGACCCCCTACCACTACTCCAGAAGGATGTCCCGTGGCAGGTGAGTGGAGTTGCTTCTCACTTTGGGTCCCTCCAAATTGTCACTTGGCCGTGGCCTACACTGATTTTGGACCAAATGAGCTACTGACAGCTGCTGCCCAGAAGCAAAGTGTTGTGGCAAAAAGATCTTTGCAATGTATAAAACTGCTGAAAATGTTCCACGTGGTGCCAGAGAAGAGGAGGATGCAGCTGAGCTGGTTTGATGGTACTCCTGGAAAATAAGTTTTTGAGCTAAGGATGGGTTGCAAAATGGGTAGATTGGACCTACAACTTCTGCCCTTTGCAGGCATTTCATGGGCATTTCATAGAACTGTAGAATGGTTTGGGTTGGAAGAGACCTTAAAGATCATCCAGCTCCAACCTCCCTGCTATGGGCAGGGACACCTTCAACTAGGACCAGGCTGCTCAAAGCCCCATCCAGCCTGGCCTTGAACACTGCCATGGATAGGGAAGGACTTTGAAGCACTTCCAAGGACTAGGGGAAAGAGACCCAGAAGAATGCGTGTAGCACTACTCTTCCCTCTCTTAAATTCACCATGTTTTCTGAAGTGATATTCAGGGAAAACCAGAAGAGTTTATAAGCTCCTGGGTTGGTTTCATTTGAAAGGTTGAAATGAGAACTGAAGGGTAGGGAAAGTCATCTGAGGGTGGGCAGAGAGGACACTGCAGCAGTGAGGTTCAGGCTCTTTTGGGCATGTTTTTCTGCCTCTGTACCCTTTGCTGTGTACGATTTGTGGAGTGTGTGCAGTAGCAGAAGTGAGGAAGGGGCTGTGTGGCCCCTCTGTGATGTTGTGTCCATCAGCTCCACCCCCACCGTGCCTCAGAGGGTGAGATAATGGCCAGATATTAAAGCTGAAACCAAACAGAAAAATCCACACGCTGTAGTTTTAAATAGTAACAAACACCCTCTGTAAAACCTTTCCTCCTCTTTTTTCAACCAGCTCTGAGCATTCCTTATGCCGACCCCAATTCTGTAAACCACCGACCAATTACCCAGTTGTTAGAGATATTCTCGTCTGGGCTTGTACCCCAGCCCTTTCCCTTCTCCAAGCCCTGCTGGACTGCTGAGCAGTGATATCCCACACAGGTTACCATGGGGATTGAATCGTACTGGATGTTCTCAGCTCAAAATTACTCAGACCCTTCTCTCCCCTCCCCGTCTCTTTCCTTTTGCAGGTGCATTGTGATGACCTGCACGGTCTGGGTGTATTCCTCCCTCATTTCCTTCCTTCCTGTCATGCAAGGCTGGAACGAGATCCCCGGGGTGGACTTTGATGCGGGCAGGGAATGCATCTTTGTCACCAACTGGATTTTTGCCATCGTGGCTTCTGCCCTGGCGTTTTTCGTTCCCTTCATGGTGATGTGCAGCATGTACTTCTTCATCTACCGAGCTTCGCGGCTCAAGGCCACCCGTATCATGTCCCAGACCCTGGAGATTCACTACCACCCCAACAGCAAGCGGCAGAACCACCTGCAGCTGGAGAACAAGGCCACGAGGACCATCAGCATCATCATCTCAGTCTTCGTGCTCTGCTGGCTGCCCTACTTCGTCCTGAACGTCTGGCTCGCTGCCAGGGGCACCGACTCCACCAGCACGGTCCTGGTCGACGCCTTCAAGATCATCACCTGGTTGGGATACTGCAACTCCACCATCAACCCGATGCTCTACGCCTTCCTGAACAGGGACTTCCAGCGGGCCCTGAAGAAGCTGCTCGTTTGCAGGCACAGGTCCCAGGTGGACATCGGAGAAGACATGGTTTCCATAGCCACCTTCTCCAAGACTGCTCCAGACCTGGAATACAGCACCATGGTGCCAGTGCCCAACGGTGCCCTGAAAGGCAAACCCAAGTCGTAGGGATTGAGGGTCAGTCGCTGGAGGTGGTGATACAGGAAGTGCCAGAGCACATCCCAATGGAAAAGTAACAGGCAGGAAAATAGGGGAAGGAGGGACTGGAATATTGCAGCTGGGGACATACAACAAAGATGCGTTTCTTCACCTTCCACAGTTCTCAGAACGAGGACCTTTGATCTTTTAAGGACAATTTGTGATACTGATGGAGTTAATTCCTTCCTGGATATCTTTTTTCTTTTCTTTTTTTTTTTTTTAAATGAGCATTTCCCAAGACAAAATCAACCATAATGTTGGGGGAAAAAAATACCAGTATCATAATGTGAATTTATCTTCCTGTGCATCCTGGTGATCTGTGTCAGGTGGGGCAGTGTTTCTTATCAAGCCACTGTAGCTCTCATTTCACAACTTTATTACAGACTTGACCAGTTTCAGCAACTCCACCTGTATCAGTCTGGGTGGGGGAATTAGGAAGGATGTGGCCAAAGAGCAGAGCTCAGTTCTTACCGAGGCACCAGTCTGCAGCCTGGGCTGTTGCTCAGGGTTCAGCTCGCTTGCTTCTGAGACACTGAGAGGTTTAGAGCTCTGTAGGGCTTTCTGTGAATTATCTGTGAGTTAATTCTGGAAGGAAACATCCTGTGTGGCAGAGCCCAGGAGATGAGCAAGACTCGTAATACCAAGAGCACTGAGTGCCCAGGAGTTTCAAAGGCTGACACCCCCAAAGAGGGGATGTGAAGAGGAATCATTACTTGCCTTTGTGTTTTGCACTGTGATGTCTATGGAACACACAGACATAAAAAAAATCACGATAAAGGGGAACCACTGTTTTTACTATTTCCAAGTGCTTGTCTGGACTTCCAACAGCTTTTCTGTAGCAGGGTGACACGAGGGCTGGTGACACCTGAGACAACAGCACAGTTGTGGTGGGGTCTCCCACTGGTTTATGTGGGAGGGTCACTGCACTCCGAGCCTGCTCTTAGGCTGATCTTTTATGGGCATGAAACACTTCAAAGAGGGTTTCTGAAATATCTCCTTCTGAGTGTCAATCACTCCCTTGGGACAGGCAAGGCTTCTGCAGCCTGGGAAGCAGAGCAAGCACAGCAGAAAGATGTCCAGTCCAACATTTAATGCTAAAACTACAAGAGTGAGGCACTGACAGGGGTGAAGAAATTCACTTTGTTGAAAAATTACCAAAAAGGGAGGATAGTACAAGTCCTGAGTCCTTCTGCTCTTCCACCTCAAAGGCAGCTGAGGACTGTAACAAAATGCATGTAGGTCCTGCCCAGAGCAGCTCAGCTACTGAAAACTCAGGTACAAGGGTCAGGAGTTCTCTCTCAAGAGTCTGGTAGAAAAAAGAGCTCTGACTTGGGGTTGCAACACTGGTTCTCCTGTCAAATGGCTCTTCATGGAGTGGGTTAGGTCTCCCAGACCCTATGACTCCCGTAACAGCATGGAAGTGGTAAGTAGAGTAACTACACCTTATTCTGGGGGCAGCATCTGAGTCCATTGGGCACAAGGGTGGATAGGGCAGGATTCTTGCTGCTGCCACCCTGTTAATTTTGATAAAACAAGACAAGGAATGATGTTCCAGCCCCAAGAGCTATGGGGGGAAAGCAGCTTGAGGGATAGGTAACGTCCTAGGGGGATTGGGACAGTGCAGCAGGGCCGCAGTCAAAGCCCCTCCTGCAGGGCTGTGGGCTCCCAGCTATCCTAGTTCAGGTGTCCTTCCACAAAAACAGCTGGCAGGAAGGAACACACCATTCACAGGAAAACTTCTCTGGTCAGGGAGAAGGCTTTCTCAGTCAAACCCTGGGGCAAAGAGGTTCAAAGACAGGGACAACACACTCCAGCAATGACTGACCCAGGCAGTGAGGGGCTGAGCGTGGCCAGATGCTTCTGTGGGCATGGGCCACACAGGAGAGGGTTTGTGCACACCTTTGAGGGTAGGTGTAACACCCCAGAATATGCAGACACACCTGGTGTGAACACATGTACCAGTTTTGGTACTGAAATGCTGCAGGGCCCTTGGAATAGGCAGCTGCCTACATCAAGTTAAAAATACCTCATTTCTCGCTCCTGTGCTCCATCTGTAATCACTGAGCTGGCAGGGAAGCCAGAGAAGTTTCAGATGTGGCCATTTCACTGTGCAGTTGTAGCTGATGCAAACTGGGAAATCCAAGGGAAGGGGACACACTTAACTGTCTTCTGCTTTAACCCAGCTAAACACAATTCTGTTTCTGACCAAATACTCTCTGCAGCACTCTGGCTTCACCTGGACAAGCCAACATCTAGGACGGTTATCCAAGAGCACAGGGGAGACCATCCTTGTAATTCACTTCAGCCTTATCACAAAGCTGCAGAGTGTCAGCAGAGTGTCAGCTGGTTTAATTGCTGGTCACAGCGTCACACCACAGTGCAGTGATCCCCAAAAGGATTTGAATCCAACACCTTTTTAGGAAACTGATTTCGGAGGCTACAACTTTAACAAATTTAACTCTGTGAAACGTAAAAATGCATTTATACAAGAGCAGTTCTAACAGCATAAGAATTATCCCTCCTTCTTCCTTCTCTGTTAACAGGTGAGAGATTGCCTCCACAACCCCCTCAGTTTGGAGCCCAGTCCCCTTCTTTCTCCAGATCGTATCTCACTTCCAAGCAGCACGTTCGGTTTTGCGTCATCACACACGCTGTGGCCAGTGTGAGACAGGAAAGCACAGGGAGTTACAGGGATGCAGAGCCCATCCTGCTCCCGCTGCACAGGGCTGCCACCTGCAGCATGCACAGGTCTGGGCTTCCCACAGAAGCAACTACTATTTTGTCTTATAAATAAAAAAAGTTTATTAAATCATTTAGACTTGAAAGAAGTCACAATAATCAATGCACTTCAACAATTACAACAAGTGCATCCTGTACACCACCAACCCAAACGGATTGATTCTCTATTTTATAAATAAAAATTAACATATTTACAGTGAGAAATAAAAGCTTGGCATTAGGCAGTTAAATTAGCAGATTACACAAATGCCTACCAGTTGATTTTTTTTTTTTTTTAAAAAGTACAAATCTACAAGATTACATACGACACGTATGACTTCATTAGGCTTAAATCTTCAGAATCACAACATTTTTGTACATAATTTTGACTATGGCTCTTCCAACCACTGCCTATAAAACCCCCCATTTAATGGCAAAAAGCTCCTTTTCCTTCTCTACAGCTTCATCTGCATAAGATGCATTCCCTAAGATCTACGGTAGTGCAGAAGTATGAAATGATTTCCTCTAATGACTGGCTATGGACAGTGACAATATGTACAACTGTGGTACTTTTTTGCTTTAAAAATAGTGCACGTTCCCAGTTTACCCACCAGGGACAAAAATGGAGTCATAGTTCATTTCAAAATCATCTTCATTTCACCAAAGAGCAAGTGATCCAGATAGATACTCACTAGGCTTAGAGACTGTAATTTGCTCTATAAAAATACAGTATTTTAATTCTATTTACATGTTACAGATCTCTCACTTACCCAGCAAGCTGACATTTACAAGCTTCAAAAAACCCCAAGAAACCCAAAAAAACTGATAATGGAGCGCAACATTGGTAAGCAGAGTAGCTGGACCCGTCCGCCTTGGAGAGTTAAGGTAAGGAAAATGGAATGTGGAAAGTGTGGTTACTGGTTTTCCTTGGCTGTCAAAGTAAAGGAAACTCTGTCCAACAATGTCTTATACACTAAACATGGCAAAAAAAAAAAAAAAAAAGTTTAGGTAAACTGTTTCCAAGATAAACATTCTGCATCATAGGATCCTTCTGCTGAACAATCCCTGTAAAACCTGCCGAGTGGAAGAAGTGATCCTGAGGATAGTTATTTGCTTGGTTGTCTGGAATGTTTATTTCCTGATAGACTCATTGTCCGTGACCTCTGCCTAAGCACTGGTTTGGGTGGGAGATCCAAGTCTTCAAAGACAGGATTTTCTATGATTGCTGCAGCCTCTGGTCTTTCAGTGGGACTTGGAGAGAGCATGTCCTTCACCATGGTGTACTGAAAGAAAACACGACACATTTTACACAAAACAATTCATAAAGTCTTTCTTCTTTAATGTTCTCACTTCAATTGTGAACAAGCATAAAATCCCCCCAGTTTTTCCTGAGTAATCTGGGTGTTAGTGCTGTGGCTCAGCAGCTAGAAGTGCATTAAATTTTTTTAAATGTATCAGCGCGCAGTTTCACAGCAAATCAGAGGTTTTCCTTTAAATATAAAGATGATTTGAATATTTACTTCAAACTTAATCAGAATTAGTGTCCTGCTCCAGCTGAGCAGAGCACATCACCTTCCCCCAGGCAGCCTACAGCTGTAAAGGAGGACAGGCTGGTCTCATTTAGCTGCTGGTCTGAAGCTACCATGAACACCTGAAAGCACCTCAGCTTTCTACTGGAGAGGTTTTGTGCATCACCTCCTCTTTATCTGCAACCACATCACTTTACAGGCCTGACTAATAAGGACACAGAACAATTTGCTCATATGTTTTCCCACCTGGGAGATCCAGTTCCTGGAGGGAGATCCCATCCAGGCCATAGTTGCTACCCTACGGTCTCCCCTCAGTTTGTCTGGAACTCTGCACTTTCTCCTTGGGAATATGGATTTATTGCAAGAAATCATATCATGAAGTATGTGAAATGAATGACTGCAAGTGACAAAGGGAAATCAGGCAATACTGTCTAGTTACTGGAGGTTAACTGTGTGGCAAAAGTATCATCATCCACTTTACTGGAATGTCATAGCTTTGACATGTAGAAAAGTACAGGGACAGAGAAATGCATCTTAATGACATTAACATGGGGGTTTTACTCCATTTTTACCTGCAAAGCAATTGGAAAACCAAGAAAAAAGCTACAGTGATTAGAGAAAAAGGTATCATTAACAGCATCAAATGTACTTACCTCTTCTGCATATTTCTCAGTGAACAGGGGTGGAAACTTCAAATTTCTAACATCACTTAGGGTCTGCAAAAATAGGAAGAACAACACATAACTTTTCCAAAATAGCATTCTTCAGTAACATTACTCTATTTTTCAAAAATATGCAAACTACGCAAACAGATCAGCCTCATGGAAAAAAATTTAAAGAAGTCTTGCTTTAGTGGTTAAAAATCACAACATACTTGAACAGACAAGGTGCTGCTTCTCTATGTGTACAGCCTGCAACAGGAGTTATGAGAACTGTGATCTCTGCAGTTTTAAATCATTCAGAAACACAAACTTGTACTTTCTCACTTCAGCTCAACAAAGTCAACAAATCTGTGCACCACCCATAACCCCCAAGATGGTCTACACTGGTTTAAGACATGTGAAATGACTGTCCCTGTCTCAATAACATAAGCACCAGTCTTTATTTAACATTTATGGAGAAATGAGCAGATTTATCAGCAGTTGTGATGGGTATGTCTGTGTTTCTTCCATACCAAGGCCACTGGCTCCATCTAGTGACAGTATTTTTACCGGGTTCAGCCAGAAGCACAATATTTAGCACTTCATTTCTATTAGGAAGGATATCTCTTTTTCAAACGTTTGAGCACAAAAATATAAAAATTCCAAAGTTAAACCAAAATTCAATTCACTGTTACTCCACTGAAAGCATAAACTGACCAGTTAATAGTGATGGGCAACAGTCACACTCCTGTTCAAGAGAACTGAGTTTTATGACATTAAAATGCTTCAAAAAACCTTTTCTCCTTCTCTGCCAGTTCAGTCTGCAATTAGTGACCTATTTCAAAACATCTAATTTGGAAATAAATTGCGCTGCCACAGACTAACTGCTAACAGCTTGAGACAGAGGCAGGTCTCACGCTCCACCTCTGGGGATTTTTCCAGCCAGTTGCCACGGATTCCTAGAATTTGCTGGGTTACTTGGTC